TGATCATGTTTTCATTATTGGGGACTTTAATTTGCACGTGTGCTATCCTGAGAAGCCCTTGGTTAAGGACTTTTTAGATTTATGGGACTCATTTAATCTAACGCAACATGTAAATGGTCCCACCCAAGAGCGCGGACATACACTGGACCTTTTTTTAACTCATGATGTGACTGTTAATAATCTTGTTATTGGTGATAATGTTTTTTCAGACCACATGCCAGTCCACTTTGAGTTCACCCTCCCCCATCTAACTCCTAAGCTGTGCATTTTTGCACATAGGACCCGGACCATTAACCACTTCACTGCCACACGTTTCACAGATGTTTACAACTCTGAAATGATAATTCAGCCCCCGGTGTTTCTCTCCACCACTGAGGGGCTGACATCAGTTCAACTCTGTCTGCTTAAAGACTCTGGATCATGTTGCGCCTGTTAAAACTAGAAAATCAAAACTCAGAGCAGAACCTTGGCTGAGTGACGTCACCAAGGCCGTTAGGCAGCAATGTAGAAGGGCGGAACGAAAGTGGAGGAAAGACAGGCTGCAGGTCTCTTTTCAAATACTTAAAGAGAGTTGGCGCTGTTATCAGAAAGCAGTGAAAGCTGCTAAATCCAAATACTTCTCTGATATAATTACCTCAAACTCTCGCAACCCACGTGTCCTCTTCTCCACCCTAAACTCTGTTCTCCACCTCACTGAACCATCACCTCTGAAAGCCTCGACTGAGCTGTGCGACAACTTCTTACATTTCTTTTTGGAAAAAATTGCGACCACCAGGGCTCTCATTTTCCCTTTAACTCATGACCCATCCATCCCACCTCAGTCTGTAGCTCCATTTGACCATTTTGAACCCATCACTCTATCTTCTCTAGAGCAGGTCATGTGCAGCTTGAAACCTTCTGGTTCCCCCTTTGATGTGGTCCCCCCTCGACTACTAAAGGAGGTTTTTCCCACTCTAAGTTCATCCATTCTTGATATAGTAAACAGTAGTTTATCCACTGGCGTGGTGTCAAAATCCTTTAAACATGCTGCTGTCCAGCCTCTCCTGAAAAAAACAAACCTTGACCCCTCAGTCGTGTCCAACTTCCAGCCTGTCTCCAAACTCCCATTTTTTCCTAAAGTACTGGAGAAAATAGTCGAGTCCCAGTTGAAGTGCTTCCTGGAAGGTCACACCATCATAGAGCTATTCCAATCTGGCTTTAAACCTCTCCACAGCACTGAAACTGCCCTGCTGAAGGTCTTTAATGACATCTTCAGATCCACAGATACTGGTGATTCTATGCTGCTTGTCCTATTGGACCTCACGGCCGCCTTCAACACCATCGACCATGAGATCCTCATTGCTAGGTTAGAGCAGTGGGTGGAAGTCACAGGGTCAGCCCTCAATTGGTTCAGATCCTACCTCACTGACAGATCCTTTTGTGGCTCCATCAAGGATTTTAGTTCTGCAGAGGCAGAGCTTAAATGGGGGGTTCCGCAGGGGTCCATCCTGGGTCCCCTCCTATTCTCTTTATACCTGCTGCCGCTTGGTGCTATTTTCCGGGAAACACAACATGTTCTTCCACTTCTATGCCGACTGTCAAATTTACTTCCCCCTAAGACACAATGGTACATGCTCGATTCAACCGCTGCTTGACTGCCTGGCTGACATCAGGGACTGGATGGCTTTAAACTTCTTAAGTTTCAATGAAAAGATGTCTGAAGTCATGTTGTTCCCTCCCAATGACACGATCACAAACCACTGCATCGACCTCTCTGCTCTAACCCTGTCAGAAAAACAAAGAATCACTAATCTGGGAGTGATTATGGACCCTTCCCTGAAACTTAACAATCATGTAAACATGATTGTTAAATCATGTTTCTTCCAACTGAGGCGGCTGTCTAAACTGAAGCCCATATTGTCCAAAAATAACCTGGAGACAGTAATACATGCATTCATTACATTTAGGCTTGATTACTGCAATTCACTCCTGTTTCGTATCAGTCAAACCTCCATTGCACTACTACAACTGGTCCAGAATGCAGCAGCCCGATTTTTAACCAGTACAGGCAAAAGAGAGAACATTACACCAGTTTTGGCCTCCCTGCACTGGTTACCGGTTCACTTTCGAATCCAGTGCAAAATACTGATGTATGTCTACAAATCACTGAACAGTTCCACCCCCACCCCCACCCCATCTCTCTAATCTGCTGCAACTGTATGTCCCACCACGTTCCCTGAGGTCAGCGGACCAGTTGCTCCTCACAGTTCCAGGAACTTGTCTTAAGTGCAGAGGTGACAGGGCCTTCTCTGTAGCAGGACCAAGACTCTGGAACGAGTTACCTCTGCTTGTCAGACAGGCCCCCTCCCACTCGGTTTTCAAGTCCTGTTTAAAAACTCACTACTATTCAGTAGCTTTCAACACCAGATGATCTGTGTTTTGATCCTGTATGCTCCACACTGGTTAGTCATCATTATCTGCATCGTTTTTATGTCTATATTCTGATTTACCTCATTTTGTATTTTGCTTTGTTTGTTACCTGTTGTTTTGTCTGTACAGCACTTTGGTTGGCTTTGTCGCTGTTTTAAGCGCTCTATAAATAAAGTGGTATGGTATGGTATAATCTTTCCATAAGCCAAAACTTCATTCCAGAAGCTTGGAAAACAGCCTTTGTTCTTCCTTTGCTGAAGGGAGGTGACCCCACCTCACTGAACAACTATCGGTCAATCGTTAAACTCCGCATTTTAGCCAAGGTTCTAGAAAAACTGATAAACTCTCAAATCAAAAATTACCTGGACTCATTTAACATCTTACCTCCTCATTAATCTGGTTTCAAGAAAAACAACACAGCACAACGACTGCTTCACTGAAGGTTCTTAATGACGTTGTTGAAGCACTGGATGCTAAGGATTATTGTGCTGCACTTTTGTTAGACCTGTCTAAAGCTTTTGACACTGTGGATCATAACATCTTCAATTCAATTCAAAAATACTTTATTAATCCCAAAGGGAAATTATTTGTTGTTGTAATTCGTTATCCTCATTTCATTAAGATATATTATAGATACTGATGGCTGTAGGCAGGAAGGATCTCTTGTAAAGGTCCATCCCACAGTGGATCCTAAGAAACTGGCTGCAGATGCCATCTGATCCATCCACCCAGACTCAGCTGGCCTCTCGGTTCCCCTGGGCTGTAGGACAGCCTGAATGCTGGGCATAACTCCTCCCGGAGCGATGGCCACTCCTCCCAGCAGCCTGCCGAGCTCCTCGTCGCTGTGGACAGCCAACTGTAGGTGCTGAGGGAGGATCCTGTCCTTCCGCTGTCATGACCCATGTTTACTGCTAGTTCCAGGATCTTAGTGGTCAGGCACTTAAGCACAGCTGGCAGGTAGATGAGAATGTGTCCACAGAACACCCTTTTCAACTCATTTGAGGTCTGGGGCTGTAGTTAAGATATTATTTGAGCTTTTGAGATGTTAATCAGCTGCTGTTGGTTCTAGAAAACTGCCTTGTTGCCATGGTTACGCATCATAACAAATGTCTAAGAGTAAAGAAGTTTCAGTAAAAACCGTTCCAGCTGCACAGCATCCGATACCAGAGGAAACAATCATCCAAAAAAAGTGATTTACATCCAGAAAAAGAGTAATTAAAGTTTCCAAAAGCAAAATCTCAGAATGAAAGTAACAGAGCTGCTCCAACATGCAGCCATCTTGAGAGGCGCAATTTGCTTTTGTCATAAGCTGTCAGAAATCGGTTTCTCAGATCACACCATTGGATGGTTCTCTAACTATCTCTCAGATCGGAGGCAATGTGTTCAACATAATGGTACTTCCTCCAGTTATTTAACAGTCAACAATGGTGTACCTCAAGACTCAGTCTTAGGACCCACCCTCTTTACAATCTACAAAGGTAATGTAGGTAAAAACATCCCTGATGCATCCATACATTTCTATGCTGATGACACAGTTGTTTATTGTCGAGCTAAAACAGTTGATAAGGCTTTCCAGCATTTGCAATCCGCATTTAACATCATCCAGTCAGATTTGTTTCACCTCAAACTTGTCCTAAATGCCGACAAAACCAAAGGGATGCTTTTTTCAAATAGGAAGTCGGTCCCAGCAGTTCTTCCTCCAATTTTATCCTCAAATGATGTCCCCATTGAGTTTGTTGATTCCTATAAATATTTGGGTATCTTGGTCGACTCGCATCTCTCTTTTAAGCTCCATGTGGAAAACCTAGTAAAGAAACTGAAAGTTAAACTAGATTTCTTTTTCAGAAACAGATCCTGTCTAACTCTGAATGCTAGGAAACGCCTTGTATCTGTGACTTTCCTTCCCTCCATTGATTACGGTGACATTATTTACATGAACGCTCCTACAAGAACCCTGCAGATGTTGGATGCTGTCTATCATGGTGCACTAAGATTCATAACTGGCTGTAATTATTGTACCCATCAATGCACCCTGTATTCACTGGTTAAATGGACATCATTAACTTTACGCAGACTCTCTCATTGGTACATTTTCATCTTTAAATCACTTCTTAGTCTGCTGCCTTCATAATCTCCTCCTTCATGTCTCTGTGTGAGTGCAGCTACCGCGTACGCTCTCAGGACATTATTACCTGCAGTGTTCCCTCATTGCAGACTGAACTTGGCAAAAGGGCCTTCTCCTACTCTGCTCCTGTTTCCTGGAATATCTTACAAAAAGACCTGAAGCTCTCGACCTTGACCTCTCTAAGTGGCTTTAAAAATCTTTTGGACTCCTGGCAAGGACCAATACAGACATGTTCCTGTTTTTAGTTTTCTACATTCGCCTTATAAATCTAGCTGGTTTGTTACTCTTTTTGCCATCTTATTTGTAAAAAAAATTCTATGCCTTTTTATAACTGTCTATTGCTGTCGCTGTTGTCCATTGTTGTCATCATTCTTTGTTGAAATCAGGTCTCTCTTGTAAATGAGTCCTCGAGGCTCAATGGGATTTACCTGTCTAAATAAAGGTTGAATTAAAAAGTTGTGGATTCTCACAGACTGTGGCCTGTTGGTGAAGAAATCCAGGACACAATTGCAAAGGAAGGGGCTTAGTCCTAGTGTGAGTAGTTTGTCCATCAGGGTGTGGGGAATCACGGTGTTGAAGGCGGATGTGAAGTCCACATAGAGCATGCGGACGTAGGAGTCCTTCTGCTCCAGGTGGATGAGAGCAGTGTGGACCACAGAGGAGATGGCATTGTCTGTTGTATTTGATGGCTTAGTTGGTATAGCTCTTGCTTCACAGTGAGACGTTCACTGGCTCAACAGTGACCTTTCTGGGTGGAGATTGCATGTTCTCTCCGTGCATGCATGGGTTTTCTCCGGGTACTCCGTTTTTCTCCCAAATACCAAAAACATGCATGTTAGGTTGATTGGTAACTCTAAATTGTCCCTAGGTGTGAGTGAGAGAGTGAATGCTTGTTTGCCTCGTTTGTCTCTGTGTGTCCCTGTGATGGACTGGAGACCTGTCCAGACACACAAATAATGTCACAATAATTATCTTTTTGCACCAAATATCAGTTTTGGAGGAAATCAGTAAACATTTACATTTCACCAGCTCCTGTCCAACCATGACCTTTGACCCTTGATGCTTCCAGACCTGCTCAGGGTTTGTTTACCTAAGAACTTGACGAGCAGCGAGTGAGGGAACTTCTTCAGGTGGTCCATGTAAACCTCCAAGTTGGTCAGAAGGAATTTAATCTCTCTTCTGTTCTGAGTCTTCAGGAAGAACCGTTTGTCGTTTCTGTGAGATAAGTGGCGCAAAGTTTCGATTGCTGTAACAGGTTGTAACGAAAACTGTGGTCTGCTCAAAGTTCAGGGGTCTGAGGTCTGAGGTCAGACTCACGTCAGGAAGAAGTCAGCTTTACTCTTGGAGTTACTGATGAACTGAAGGTAGCAGCTTTCTGAGCACAGAGATTCTAGATATTCAGCTTCTGTCAAACCCAAAGATCCTCGCAGGCTGGAGAACACCGGGCCGGCAAACGTCTGCATAGTGAAGGACTGTAAACAAACAAACAAACAAACAAACAAGCACACAGACAGACAATAGCTATGTTTACATGTGCAGAATTCTTTGACCGGATTGAAATGTGTTCTGTTTGAATAATTCAAATGTGTTGTTTACATGGGCACAATCTGTTCATGACGAGCGTTTACATGCAGCGGGCTTTGTTCTGAACAGCAGTACTGACATGCGCAGAGTGGTAAACTCTCATTAAAAAAACCACGGAAGAAGAAGTTCTACTTCCGGGGTGAACGTAAACAAACCTGAGCACCCAAAATGGACCCGCGACAGGTTTTAATGATGGTGGAGACGTTACTGCACTTCCTGACTGAGCTACAGGTAATACAGATCATTTTGAGCTCTTTAAAAGTTTCTAGTAGAAATGTTGTGTCGCTCACCGACCAGTTTTGCTTCCCTGACATGCTAATATTATTAGCGTTAGCCAGGCGGAAATGGCAAAGTCGCACATGCGCAGTCAGGTCAGTTTTTCACCATCAGATAAAAACGAACAGATCAAGCGTTTACATGCGCACCGATCGGGTTTCAGATCGGCGTAAACCACCCGTTTCGTTCTGATCACAAATTATATCGGATCGCGCCGAATACACAAAAAATAACCCGAACGGAGTGTTTACATGACACACTTTTATTCCGACCGGCCATTTGATCTGGTTACTTATGTCCATGTAAACATACCCACAAAGATACAACATTTTCTGCCGAGCATTAAACTCTGCTGAAGTTATTCAAGACAAAAGAAGCAGAACAGTAGCTAAAAAGCTATATACTAGACAAAAGTTGCAAAACAATAGCTAAAATCTTAAATTTGAAAAAAATAAATAAATACAACCTCTCCCCTCCAAAAAAAAAGATACATAGTAACTACATGTATCAAAAGCTAGCTAAGAGCTAAAGGTAGCAAGCTCAAATCTACCAAAAGATTACAAGAAACAGCTTTGTAAATGCTGACTCATAATAAACCTAATAAACTATTAATTCCTCCTGAGGAACAAAGATGGCCGCACCTGATGGATCTGAGTGACCTCGGACCCAAAGTCTTCCTTGGACAGTTGGTTCTGCAGCAGGAGAGAGAAGAACCATGTTTCTTGTTATTTAATAAACAGTGTAAGAACGTCAGATGTTGATGATGATCCCCGGGTTTTAATTCTGTTCACCCTCACACCTGGTTCTGGATAGTTTAAAATAAATCCTAACTTCATTCTGTTTTCTATGATCAATGAGTGTTTTCTTGTGCGTGCATGTGTGTGATGGTGTGTGTGCATGTGTGTGTGTGTTGTTTGGTTGGACAGAGCAGTGCTGTGGAAACCTGCTGACTCATCAGAGGATTACAGTTTGTTGTTCTGTTAAATTCTTGGACTCACAGCAGAAACAGCAGATTCTACACGTTCTGGTTCTGGTTCTGGTTCTGATTCTGATGTCATTTTAAACCTGAAATCTAAACTTTTAGTATCTGGGTTTCATCCATGTGGGGGTTGGGTCACAGACGTACCAGGTCCAGTAGGAAATCCTGACTCAACATTCTCCAGGTCTTCCTGTAGGATCTTAAGGTGATCTGAAGCTCTCTGAAGTTTTGGGTCTGGCCCAGCCAGGTCTCTGTTTCTTTAAGTTTAAATTTTTTCTGAGTTGATTTCAGGGGTTTTCATATCATGTCAGTGTTTCTCCTACATTATACAGGCGGGGTGCCCCACCCTGTCAACAGAACTGAGCACCCCGCCTACCAAACTGAACTTGCCCCTCCCACCCCCACCCGGCACTGACATATCACTAAGGTAGCAGCGCAAAACACAGGCTCTCTAGCTAAAAAGCCCAAGGCAGCACTCACATTGCCTTTTCCCTCATGTTGAACGCCCCCCGCCCCCGCTCAAAAACTGTTAGTACAAGCTGCGCTCAGACATGTCTCTGTCCCCGCATCAGCAAAAATCATGGATAAGATGAGCACCCCGCCATGGCCAGCTAACTAGGGGAAACACTGCATGTTATGTTACAAATCTGGATCTGTCGGTTCTGTTTGGGCTTTTAAACGTTCTTACGTTGTGCTTGTTGAAGGCTGTAGGTCTCAGGGAGGAGCTTTGGTGTTTGTCAATAAAATGGTTTCACTCATAAACCAACATGAGCTGGAATTAAAGAGCTTCTCTGTCCTCATGACTTAAGACAAGATGATATGATGTGAAATAAAACATATTAACTGATGTTCCTAAATTCAGATTTTTTGTTTTTATCTTCAGAGTTTCTGGAAAGAATGCGGAACTCCTCCTTTATTAATGGTGTACCGCAAGGCTGTGTTCTTAGTCCTCTTTGTTTAAGTCTCTACGTAAAGGATTCGTGTCCTGGTGCAGGTGTTCAGATGGACACTAATAGTGTATTTTTGTGTGTTGTTGTTAAAAACATCAAATCAGTGTCAGAACAGCTGTCCTGTTCTTTAGAGTCCAGAGCAGTATGGATCCAAAAGTCATGTCTTATTCTGAATCTAAAAAAAAAAAACTATTGTTTTTTTTCCTCAGTCTTCTTTTCCAAAAAGACTCCGTTTTGGAAAAATGTCTCTGATTTGAACTTTAAGATCACTGGTCAACATGTTTCAGACATGAAGTATATTGATTTTGTCCTGTATTCTTATTACATTTAAAAAAAAGTTCAGCTGATGAGCAGAGCATTTTATGCTACATCAGTTTATGAACTCAGTTATCCAAGTTCTGCTGTAACCTCATGGTCTCAGACATGTCCAACCATCAACCCTCCCAGAAGAACCTAGACCCAAACTGAAAAAATTCTGGACAGAAAACCCATCAGGTCACATGACGGTCAGCATCCCAAGAGACCGAACAAGATGAATTTGAAAATATTTTTGCATTACTCGCTTAACTGGGCAGGCTCCTCGAGGCCTCAGGACTTGCTGGTTCCCCTCAAGTCCACAGGCTCAGTCAGTCAGAACTGTAAGGTTACTTCTTGTACACATCCTGGGGTCAAACAGCCTTTTCTATTCAAGTGATTAATGTGTGGAATTTTAAAAAGATATCCAACTAGAACCTGTTTAGATCTGAAGCAGGTTCTGAAGGAGAGCCAACCAGTTCTGTGTTTCTTTTTAAAGATGGTTCTGTTCCAGCAGAGTTAATAATGTTTCATTGTGTTTAAACTGTTTTCACTTTGTACTTAGCTGAAGGCTCTGAATGTTTTGGTGAATTTGTTTCAGATAAAAAGAGAAGAAACCGTTAGAAAATGGATCAAATCTTCAGTTTTCTCTGGAGTCAGTGACCAACTCAAGCTCCACGTTCCATCTGTCACATTCTTTCAGGTTAGCTGGAAAGTTTAGAGCTTCCTGGGTGTTCGGAGCCCTTTGCTGTGTCAAACACATTGATCTCAGTCCGGTTCTTTGGCCTGGTTTTATCTGCTGCCTGCAGAACCGTCGACACCAACACTGTTTTATTAAAGTTAAAATCTAAACATTGTAAATAAAGATGTAATGAACATTTCACAATGACGTGTTGCAAAGCGTCAGTCGAACAATAATCGATCAGTGGAAACAGCTGATCCAATGTACAGAGGCCCGTCTGACCTTTAGAACCAGGTCGGACTCAGTTATTAACGTGGAGCTCACTTTCGGTTAGAGGTTCTGCCTCCAAGTCCTGATGAGGCCAGGTCTTTGCTCTGATCAGAAACATGTCTGTGCTGCTGTGGATCCTGATTTTCAGACCCAGAACCAGTCAGACCTGGTTCTTGAAGCTAAAAGGGTTGTTTTAAATGCAGCAGCAGTTAGCTGTAGCAACTTCTTGTGCAGCCCGGGGCATTTCCTGAAGGAACAGGAAGCAAAATGTGTTTCATGAACCAAAGCTTGTTTGAAGATTGACATTGTTAAACATTCAGACTAGCCTTTAGCTCGTCGACCCGGTCAGATTAAATTAATTTAATCTGATCTCGATGTTCAAACGTTTTTTTTTTTTGTTTGTTTGTTTTTTCCATAGGAAGTAGAAAAACGTCTGTGAGGGGAAATCTGTTGTGAAAATTAATATTTGATCACTTTTTGTCTGAAAGCTGAGAACTGTTTTTATTTTATCGTACATTTTATTTTTTAGTTACAGTCTAATTCTTTCTGCTGAATTCGTTTAATTTTAGTCGTTCATAAATCGCAATGTTTGGCTCTTTTGGGGGATGGCCATGGTGACTTTTGTTTTTTGTAACTTTTAGACTTTCAAATGATTTAAAAACAAATAATTATAAAAAAAAAATAAAATAAACATCTAATCAGTGTCTTCAGAAACTGCTCTGTTTGAAATCTGCTTCAGCTACTGGCTCCATTTGTTGTTTTTAAAGAGATTTTAGCTGATTTTAGCTGATTTCGGTAGTTGTTCAGCACTCTTTGTTTACTCTGTTTTAGCTGAAACTATAAATCTGTTTGTCTTTGTCTTGTTGAATATTTGTATGAAGATTAAAATCAAACATCAGTTGTCACCCATATTTATTACAGGCTGAGGGATTATTTTGGCACTACTTTGTATTCGTAGTTAAAGTAGCTAAATTCATCTGCTGTTCTGAAACATCTGTAAGCCGGTGCTGATGCTCACCATGGGGGGGCAGCCAGTGGTGTTCTCGATAGCTGCAGCCAGCCCTTCCTTCATCATCTGGGTCAGGCTGTAGAACTCGTGGTTGGGATCGATCTCAAACAGACCCAGAAGTTTCCACTGCTGCCTCAGACCCCCCCACCTCCTGATTTTCACGGAGTGGCGGCGGCGCTGCGTGGACATCCCCAGGGCTCCTGCAGCTGGTGACTCCATCCACAGAGAACAGAGCCAACCCTTAGAATCGGTCCGGAACCACCCAGCTTCCTCGGGTCAGCCGGTTCTGACAGCTGAATGGTGATGGCCCGTTCAAAGAAATCAAAGAGAGGCCCGAGGCGGAAACAAAACAAGCGGTGGAGGCTGGGCCGTTGCCATGGAGACCAACACAAAGAGGACCAGATCCTGACTGCAGCGCTCGGCTGTTTACAGCTGAAATACACAAATAATCAGAGATTATAATCTGAGAGGGAACACAGTCAACAACATGGCACGTTTCATCATCTGGACTCTGCAGAGCAACGATCATATAATAAATTAACAGAAATAAAGGAAGTGTTTTCATCAGAGATACAAGATAAATTGGCTTCAATCTGTAAAAATGAAGAATAAATGAAACAAAAATTAAACAATTTCTAAACGTCTCAAACAGATTCCTCGTCTGACTCATCAAATCTGTTTGGATCAAAAATACTTTTTCTGTTGTTTTGTTGATAAACAAAAGAAAAACTTCTGGTTTGTTTCCATTTGTCTGCAGGGGTCTCATTTATTTTAAATGATGATTTCATTTGCCAAACAGATGTCCCTGCTGACGGTGAGTCTGTTTACCTGGCAACATCACTTCCTGTGTCTCAGGTGAGTTTGGTCCAGGTGGAGCATAGAAAAGCCCTCATTAAAGTTTTATCAGCTGCAGAACATGATGGTTTACACAACTCAGGACTCCCAAATAACAACAACAGTGTTAGCATTTATAAACAATAACATTTATTATTTTTCTTATTTTCATTACCAAGAGTTTATTTCATTCAGTTAAACTCAATTCATTTTATTTATATAGCACTGATTCACAACAAAGTTGTCTCAGGGCACTGAACCACTTGCTCTTGCTGAGATCGGATGCTTTTCCCTTCCCCTCCCTCTCCGCTTTGCTTTACTGCTCTGTCTGTCTGTGAAACTGCTTGTGAGCCTCTCTTGCATATCTTCCGAACCATAATCCTGGACTTGTTTTGATCAGTTAGACCCTCAACTCAATTTACAACATTTCTTCTAAGAGAAGACAGGCTTTAGGCGAGCCGATTTGCCCTGTTGGCATGCATGCAGCTGGATATCTCATCGACTTGGAAGACTTGATCCATCCATCCATCCATTTTCTTCCGCTTATCCGGGGATGGGTCGCGGGGGTAGCAGCCTAAGTAGGGAGGCCCAGACTTCCCTCTCCCCAGCCACTTGGTCCAGCTCCTCCGGGGGAATCCCGAGGCGTTCCCAGGCCAGCCGAGAAACATAGTCCCTCCAGCGTGTCCTGGGTCTTCCTCTGGGTCTCCTCCCAGTGGGACATGTCCAGAACACCTCACCAGGGAGGCGTCCAGGAGGCATCCTAACCAGATGCCCGAGCCACCTCAACTGGCTCTTCTCGACGTGGAGAAGCGGCGGCTCTACTCTGATTCCCTCCCCGATGATCGAGCTTCTCACCCTCTCTAAGGGAGAGCTCAGAAACCCTGCGGAGAAAACTCATTTCGGCCGCTTGTATCTGAGATCTCGTTCTTTTGGTCACAACACAAAACTCATGACCATAGATGAGGGTAGGAATGTGGATCGATAGGTAAATTGAGAGCTTCGCCTTTTGACTCAGCTCTCTCTTCACCACGACAGACCTCTACAGCACCTGCTTCACTGCAGACGCTGCACCTATCCACCTATCGATCTCACGTTTCATTTTTCCCTCATTCGTGAACAAGACCCCAAGATACTTGAACTCCTCCACTTGGGCCAGGACCTCCTCCCTGACCCGGAGAGGGCACTCTACCCTTTTCTGGCTCAACACCATGGTCTCGGGTTTGGAGGAACTGATCTTCAACCCAGCTGTGTCGCACTCGGCTGCGAACCGCTCCAGCGAAAGCTGTAGATCACGATCTGATGAAGCTAACAGGACCACATCATCTGCAAAAAGCAGAGACGCAATCCTAAGGCCACAAAAACGGATCCTCTGTCATAGCTCTGCTCTCTGTCAGCTCCTCTGTCATGCTGCACAC